TTTTTTTTTTTTTTTTTTTCGGTGTTCGGCCGAACGGCCAAACGCATCGAGAGGGTGTGCCGAACGTTCAGGCGTTGGGGTAGGGATTTTGTCCTGTCCCCAACACCGGCAACCCTGATTATTATTATTATTATTGTCATCATTAAAATAATAGCTTTTATTCTTGAAATTGTTATTATGTTAGCCATTTCATTTAGGTACGTACGCAGAAATGAGAGTGGTAGGAGGAGGATGCGTGGGCAGTATGAAAGCCGAGCACACAGTAGAATGAAGGTGATGAGTGGATGAAAAAGGAAGTGCGAGAGGGGAACGATGGTAGAAATGAAGAAGAAAAGGAAGAAGGAGAAGGGAGAAGAGGAGATAGAAAAAATGAGTCAAGAAGAGAGAGAGATGCATGAAAGGTGGGATGTGTGCTCTCTGAGGGATGCATAAAGAGTGTGTGTTCGGTGGGAGGAGATGAGGCAATGATGTTCATCATATATACCAATTGATTGTCATAAAATAATAGAAATGTAATCGGAATATATCATACAATTCAATAAGTAGCTTTCATAGCATGAACCCAGATTCCGGCTAGTCCGGACCTGACGAGCCACGCAGTGCGCATGACATCTGCACGTTTAGATATCCCGACCATCCGGGTATGGTCTTGATGGGCCGGATGTTCCATGTTGGTAGGAGTTAGTGTGCTTGGATGTGTCATGATCTAAAAAAAAAAGGGGAAAGTTAAAATAACTCGTAAGACTCTACTACTTTCTGCACATATAGGTCTGCCATGCATCCACCAGACAACTTTTCTTTTCTTTTCAAGGCCTATGATAACGCGCGATTATGGAGCTATCTTCATAAATAGGTCGCAACAAGTATGAAAGCAAAGGGGGATGATGATGTGCAATTGGGAGGATAACTTTGGAAGAAGGGGGTGATAGGTTTGACTAGGTTCAGACCGTTCAGGTTCTTCAGATATATCTTAGAGCTGAAAGACGTAAAAAGAAGAGGGAGAGAGAAAGAGAGAGAGAAACACACAGGCACACAGTAGATAATGACACACAAATACACAGTGACACACACACACACAGACACACAGGAACATAGTGCACAGTGAAACACACACAGAGACAAAGGCACCCAGTGCATAGTGACACAGAGATACACAGTAACACAGTGCACAGTGACACACATAATGAAACACACACAGAGACACACAGACACACCGTGCATAGTGACATGCTGATACACAGTGACACAGTGCACAATGACACACCGATACACACTGACACACACAATGAAACACACACAGAGATACACAGGAACACAGTGCACAGTAACGCACACAGTGAAACACACACAGAGACACATAGACACACACAGTGAAACACACACAAAGACACACATGCACACAGTGCACAATGACACACAAAACCACAGTGACATAGACGCAGTGACACACAGATACACATGCACACAATACATAGTGACACACAATGAAACACACAGAGAGACACGGAGAGAGGGAGAGAGAAACCTACCCGGTCGCCACCGACTGTGACCCTGAGTATATTATTACTATTACTATGATTATTATTATTATTATTATTATTTTATTATTATTATTATTGTTATTATTATTATTATTAATGCAAGGAATGAGCCCTCGCGGGGCCCTTATCAGACATGCACATGTTCTGGGTAGTGGCCCTCAGCAAACGCTCTGCCGACCCTAAGTGAAGGAGGGTCTGATTATTAACAAGAGGCCAAAATTTTGACCTTTTTTTTTATATGTGGGCACTCAGACAGTTGCAGCACGCCAGTTGGTAACAAGGAAATGTGACTCTCCCAACTCTTTCCAAAAACATGGGCTACGCTGTACTGTTGAAGCCCAAGGCAGAGTGGTTACGCCCTGGGCACACTCCTTGTAAGACCGACATATTACTAAGTGGCCGCGAACAAATGAAAATGCACCATTCTCGTCACACGACTGTCGTAAGCGAATGAGAATGTGGAAAACAC